CCGTCAACAATTTCTTTAAACGACTTCTTCTTCTTAACCACTGATTGGAATTTAACTAAATTTGACTGGAAGCATCCCTAGGTGGTGGGGATTCAAAATTGTACAAATGGTGGGGCTGACCCCCCAGGGGGCTGAGGGGCGGGGCAAAAATAGGGCAATTTGGCTAAACTGCTTTAAGCGACTTCTTCTCTGGAACTGAGTGATGGATATCAACCATATTAGACTGGAAGCATCCCTAGGTTGTGGAGATTCAAAATTGTACAAATGGTTGGGCTGACCCCCTCCCCAGGGGGCTGAGGGGCGGGGCAAAAAAGGTGTTATTTTGCTATATTTCTACAAACGACTTCTTCTGTAGAACTAAGCACTGGATATCGATCATATTTGGTCGGAAGTATTCATAGAAGGCAGGGATTGAAAATTGTACAAATGGTGGGGCTGACCCCCCCAGGCTAAGGGGTGGGGCCAAAAAAAGTTTATTGCCTGGAAATGGTTGGGATACCCACCATATAACCACATATATTACAATTGCTGAGTATAAAGAGCTGAATTCACATTTGCTTCCGGGATTGCCCTAGGGTCTGGCCCCACCCTTGGAAACATAGTCCTTGGGCCATAACTTAAAAACGGTTGAGATCCCCACCCCAAAACTATATATACAAATGCTGGGCATAAAGAGACGAATGCATTCATGATATTAGAATAGACCCTGGGGTCTGACCGAACCCCTAGGGACCTAGTTTCTTAGTCACAGCTTGGAAACAGTTGAGATCCCCGACCTATAACCATATAGACAATTGCTGAGTATAAAGAGATGAATGCACATATGCTTCCAGGATGGCCTTGGGGACTGCCCCACCCTTGGAGACTTAACCCCTGGGTCATAACTTCGAAATGGTTAAGATCCCCACCCCAAAACTATATATACAATTGTTGGGCATAAAGAGACAAATGCAGTCATGATATTAGAATTGACCCCAGGGTTTGCCCCACCCTTGCAGACTTAACCCCTGGGTCATAACTTTGAAACGGTTGAGATCCCCACCCCAAAACTATATATACAAATGCTGGGCAAAAAGAGACAAATGCAGTCATGATATTAGAATTGATCCTGGGGTCTGGCCACAACCATAGGGACCTAGTTTCTGAGTCACAGATTGGAAACAGTTGAGATCCCCACCCCATAACCATACATAAAATTGCTGGCCATGAAAAATCGAATACAGATATATATGCTACAAGGATTGGCCTTGGGGTCTGGCATATTCCCATGGATCTCATTTGGAGAATATTCTGCCATGATTGCTTAGATAATCCAGGTGAGCGATACAGGCCCTATGGGCCTCTTGTTAGGACTTAAGGTGAGTCTTACACAAAACTAGGTTTTAGTGACCTATTTATTAGGACTTAAGGTGAGTCTTACACATAACTAGGTTTTAGTGACCTATTTATTAGGAGTGAAAGTTTGTCTTACACTATAACTAGGTTTCAGTGACTTATTTATTAAGAGTTAAGGTGAGTCTTACACATAACTAGATATAGGTAGAAATTCAATTACTTTGCATTTCTCCTCAGTTTTCAGAACCTATTGACTTCACAAGAGAATGCCATAGATATTTTTCATAGTTAAATAAATCTTAACATTTAAATATTTTCCATTAAGAAGTTAAGATGTACAGTAAATGTTCATTGTTCAATGTTTCAGCTTAAGAGAAGAAATATCACTCCTCAAAGTAGCTCAACAAAAGGCAGGGGATGGTTGATCATTTGTACAACTGATATGTTGATACAGCGAAATTAAATGATGGCTAGTGTAACTATTGTCAAAAACAGTATGATGGTCAGTGTGACCAGTACTAGAAAACGGAACGATGAATACGAATGTACAAGAAAACGGATCGATGAAAACGGATGTACAAGAAAACGGATCGATGAAAACGGATGTACAAGAAAACGAAACGGTGAAAACGGAACGATGAAAACGGATGTACAAGAAAACGGAACGATGAAAACGGATGTACAAGAAAATGGAACGATTGTTAATCTGACCAAAGTCAGAAAATAGGATGATAGAGTTGTGACTGATACCAGAAAACGAAGATACCGAAAAACAGATGGATGGCTAGTTTGACTGGTGCCAGAAAACAGAACGACACAAGTCTGAGCAATGTCAAAAACTTGAATTATGCCTACTGTAGCCAGGGTCGAAGGTCAAACATAGAGTGTGGTATGGAATAGTAAGCAGAATTTCAAAGTTGAATATTTTGATAAACTTCAAAGAATAATTGCATATTTTTGTTAAGGACTTTCATCGTTGTTAGTTATTCTAGATGCTAATGTTTTCGTGAAGGTTGATGATGTGGTACAACTATACAGCAAGCTGAAGTGGCAATGGAAGTATCTTATTAGGCATTTTGTCATGTTCTGTAAAAATAAAAATAATACAAAACAATTCAGAAATACATCGGACATTTTTTAACCCAGCCTCCACTTCCATGGTTGTCCCACTATGAAGTCGGTGGTTTAGAGGACAAATTGATATTATTCTATGGGAACTTATCCTGGTGATCCAGCTGTTATTCTATGGGAACTTATCCTGGTGATCCAGCTGTTATTCTATGGGAACTTGTCTTTGTGATCCAGCTGTTATTCTATGGGAACTTGTCTTTGTGATCCAGCTGTTATTCTATGGGAACTTGTCCTTGTGATCCAGCTGTTATTCTATGGGAACTTGTCCTTGTGATCCAGCTGTTATTCTATGGGAACTTGTCCTTGTGATCCAGCTGTTATTCTATGGGAACTTGTCCTTGTGATCCAGCTGTTATTCTATGGGAACTTGTCCTTGTGATCCAGCTGTTATTCTATGGGAACTTGTCCTTGTGATCCAGCTGTTATTCTATGGGAACTTGTCCTTGTGATCCAGCTGTTATTCTATGGGAACTTGTCCTTGTGATCCAGCTGTTATTCTATGGGAACTTGTCCTTGTGATCCAGCTGTTATTCTATGGGAACTTGTCCTTGTGATCCAGCTGTTATTCTATGGGAACTTGTCCTTGTGATCCAGCTGTTATTCTATGGGAACTTGTCCTTGTGATCCAGCTGTTATTCTATGGGAACTTGTCCTTGTGATCCAGCTGTTATTCTATGGGAACTTGTCCTTGTGATCCAGCTGTTATTCTATGGGAACTTGTCCTTGTGATCCAGCTGTTATTCTATGGGAACTTGTCCTTGTGATCCAGCTGTTATTCTATGGGAACTTGTCCTTGTGATCCAGCTGTTATTCTATGGGAACTTGTCCTTGTGATCCAGCTGTTATTCTATGGGAACTTGTCCTTGTGATCCAGCTGTTATTCTATGGGAACTTGTCCTTGTGATCCAGCTGTTATTCTATGGGAACTTGTCCTTGTGATCCAGCTGTTATTCTATGGGAACTTGTCCTTGTGATCCAGCTGTTATTCTATGGGAACTTGTCCTTGTGATCCAGCTGTTATTCTATGGGAACTTGTCCTTGTGATCCAGCTGTTATTCTATGGGAACTTGTCCTTGTGATCCAGCTGTTATTCTATGGGAACTTGTCCTGGTGATCCAGCTGTTATTCTATGGGAACTTGTCCTGGTGATCCAGCTGTTATTCTATGGGAACTTGTCTTTGTGATCCAGCTGTTATTCTATGGGAACTTGTCCTTGTGATCCAGCTGTTATTCTATGGGAACTTGTCCTGGTGATCCAGGATTGATCAACTTTTCTTTAGGTGTTGAATAACTAGGCATTTAAGATGATACCGTATATCAGGAAATTTCACTGCAGTTTAATTTTTCACCATTTTTGTTGCACTCCGCAATGAGAGTGAATTCATCATTACAGGGAACATATGTTAACAACGTAATCTGCAGAGTAATAAAATGTGACCACAAAATTAACACTGGCAAACATAGATTATTCTTCCAAAGGGCGAAAGTTTTGCTGGGTGAAAATTCACTGGTATTCGGTATTAAGTATAATTTAGAAATACTTTGGGAAGGATTAGATGTGAAATGCTAGACGATGTCGGCAAACTAAAAAGAAATATTTGTTTGTTGTTGGTTTTTGAATGTTTTAGAAATTATCTTTGCGAATCATACCAATAGGCAGGTGTGCTTGAAAATATGTTGCAGAATAATGTATTAGTAAAAATATGATTTAGCACCAATTTTTGTTTTTTCGCATAAAGACAATTATAGGTTGTGCTATAAATGGTATGTAGGTCATATTGTAAGACAAGCTTTAAGAATTTCAAATCTAACCAACAAGTTCAGGATAGAAAGTTGTGGAATTTCTTTTATATACAGTGTACACACAAAAGTTAACAGCAATACTATGATGTGTTTTCTTTGTAAAAGTGGTTAAAGTTGTACAATAAAATGAACAATAAAATTGAAGTATGAAAGTCTTATTTTTGGCTTACCGGGTCCGAAGGACCAAGGTGAGCTTATGCCATACCGTGGTGTCCGTCGTCCGTCGTCCATATGTTAACAATTTCTTCAAACAACTTCTTTATTAACCACTGATTGGAATTTAACTAAATTTGAATGGAAGATGGCCTTGGTGGGGATTCAAAACTGTACAAATGGTGGGGCTGACCCCCCAGGGGGCTGAGGGGTGGGGCTGAACCCCCAGGTGGCTGAGGGGTGGGACTGAACCCCCAGGGGGCTGAGGGGTGGGGCCAAAAGGGGGCAATCTGGCTATATTGCTACAAGGACTTCTTCTGTAGAACTATGCACTGGATATAAATTATATTTGGTCAGAAGCACACATGGGAGGTGGGGATTCAAAATAACAGGGTTGGGAGAAAAGAACCACTGGCTAGGAGTGATGAAACCCTATAACAGGTTTGGGAGAAATGAACCACTGGCTAAGAGTGATGAAACCCTATAACAAATTTGGGAGAAATGAACCACTGGCTAGGAGTGGTGAAACCCTAAAACAGGTTTGGGAGAAATGAATCACTGGCTAAGAGTGATGAAACCCTATAACAGGTTTGGGAGAAATGAACCACTGGCTAAGAGTGATGAAACTCTGTAACAGGTATGGGAGAAATGAACCACTGGCTAGGAATGAAGAAACCCTATACCAGGTATGGGAGAAATGAACCACTGGCTAAGAGTGATGAAACTCTGTAACAGGTATGGGAGAAATGAACCACTGGCTAAGAGTGATGAAACTCTGTAACAGGTATGGGAGAAATGAACCACTGGCTAGGAGTGATGAAACCCTATACCAGGTTAGGAGAAATGAACCACTGGCTAAGAGTGATGAAACCCTATAACATTATGGGAGTAATGAACAACTGGTTAATAGTGATGAAACCATATACCAGGTATGGGAGAAATGAACCACTAGCTAGGAGTGGTGAAACCTATACGAGGTTTGGGAGAAATGAACCACTGGCTGGGAGTGATGAAACCTATACCAGGTTTGGGAGAAATGAACCACTGGCTAGAAGTGATGAAACCCTATAACAGATTTGGGAGAAATGAACCATTGCTAGGAATGATGAAACCCTATAACAGGTTTGGGAGAAATGAACCACTGGCTAGGAGTGATGAAACCCTATAACAGGTATGGGAGAAATGAACCACTGGCTAGGA